GAAGAAAAAACACAGAGAGTGAGCCGGACAGCAAACAGGCTAAACACGACGTTGGACATGGATCTCGTCTGTCGTCATGTCATACTTACATCAATAGTCGTTGAAAGGAGCGTCATTTCAATGGTGTTAAAAAGAGCTGAATCAAAAGGAGAGACAACCAGGTAGATGGAAAAAGAAGATGCCAGCATCAACAAGTTATTGAGGAAGCCAGTAGTTAGAGGATCTTGCAACTTCTCTTCTTCACCTTCTTGCCGCCCTTACCCCTTGACGAGTCCTTGGAGGTCCAGGCACTCTCCTCGATGTCGATGACGGTGTTGACGGCAAGTTCAAACACCTCGTCGACGCCAATCATCTGTTTGCTGCTGCACTCGACGTATGTTGCACCCATGCGCTCTGCAACGGTCTGGCCCTGCTGTGGAGTGACGGGGGTGAGACCCTGGGCCTTGAGGAAGTCGATGCAGGTACGGTTTGACCGAAGGTCGGACTTGAGGCCCACGAGTATGAGGGGGGTTGTTGGGCAGAAGTGCAGTACTTCAGGGTACCACTGTTTCAGTTAGTGGATATTCCGGACCTCCTAATTATAAATCTTAAGTCCCAAAAAAATAAAGAGGACCTACCTTGTCCATGACGTTTTCTAGCGAGACAGGACAGTCAATGGCGAAGCAAACGAAGAGGAGGTCTGTCTCTGGGTAGGATAAGGGGCGTAGTCGGTCGTACTCCTCCTGTCCTGCGGTGTCCCATAGAGCCAGCTCGACGCCTTTACCCGAGGGCTTGTGTATGGTGTGCGAGATGTAGTTCTCAAACACAGTCGGGACGTATTTCTATCCCCGCCATCAGCATCTCGTTCGTGTGTAGAGATATAAGAAGAGCCTACCTCTGGAAAGTATCCCTGGGAGTAGCTGATAAGGAGACAAGTCTTGCCGCAGCCGCCGTCCCCCACGACCACGAACTTCTTCGAGTATGAGGGCGGGACGGTGACCGAGGTGCCCTGCGAGAGCTGCGAGGCCTGCCCTGACGAGACGCTCAGGTCTGTGTTGATGGTGCCGTTGCTGACCCGGGTGCTCTGGCTGCGCAGAGGCTTGCGGCGTGGGGAGAGAGGGGGAGTCTTCTCGCTAAGCACGGACGAGTGACGCCGTATATGGCTGTGTCCATATCGTTCTTCGAAAGTGTGAACTGACATCTCGTCCTATCTCTGAGTATTGTCCGTGTGTGGTTGATGTCTGAGTTGAGTGTTGATGGTGGTGATGGTGGTGGTGGTGATGGTGATATCAACAGCGTCTAGTCCGAGATAAACAGCGAACGAGTTACACGAGCAGAAGAAAACGAGGACAAGAAGAAGAAGAAGGGAAGAGAAGAGAAGGAGTAGAAGAGGACGGAAGACGAAGAATATTTCTTTCCCAGGTGGCGTCTCCTCAGCTGTCTCTCATGCTGTCTCTCCTGTGGTTCTTCTCTCCTCCGCCTGGCGCTGGCTGGCCTGTTGTTTACCCTGCGTCTGCCGATTGCTGCCATGGCAACGCCCTGCCCCGGCCCAGCCCAACCAGCGCTGCTGTCCCGCTTAATCACCGCCTGCAGGTTCCTGGCCGGCTGGGTCAGGGATCCAGCTTCACCTTGATCGGCCATGGAGCTCTTCTTCGTCGTCTTTCGTCATGGTGGTGGTGGTGGTGGTGGTCCTGGTTGGCTCTCCTCTCCTGGCTTCTACTGTATGAGTATCACCAGGGAGACTTGGACGGCAGAGGCGCACAGCAGGCGATAGGCGGCCGTTGCAGACAGACTGTCTTGTCAATCAGCCAGTCCGCAATGGCATTCCTGTTTCTCACTCGTCTCACTCGTCTCTCTCTCTCGTCGTCGTCGTCGCTGTCGTCGCTTGTGCGTGCCTGTGGCGTCCAAGTCCTCCCCGTCTTCCTCGGCTCAAAGGAGTCCGCCCTCCCCTGCCAAGCGCGCACAAAGCCGCAAAGAGGCTGCGATCAGCTTCGACTAAGCAACGAACAGCATCTACTTACTACTTACTGCCTCTACCTTCTAGCCGTCAGCGACAGACAGCCAGATAGACAGCTACAGCTTGTGGCGGATGCTCGATGGCTTCTGCTGCAGTCGCTCGCCGCTAGTTAGAGAACCCGCACAGTCCCTACCTACCCTTTCGCTCGCAGCTTGGTCAAGACGGCCACCACCACAGGACGCAGAACAGCGCCAACAGCACCGCACAGCATGGCCGCAGACACAGAGAAGGAAAAGGAAAAGACAAAGATAGACGCCGGACTCGCTAGTCTGAACCACTGTGAGTCCTCGCCGTCTGGTTCTCAATTCGCTGATCGGTGACTGATTGACTGACCACCTCCGACCCCCCTCCCAGACCAGAGGAAGCTGCCGGCATGGAGATACAAGCTACGACAGCGCACCCTGCCCCTCGTCCGGTGGGAGACGCCGTACCTGGCATGGCTGCAGGAGAGGATACGCACACCTTCGCTTGATTCCTGGTTTGCCATCACCGCGAACCTGGGGACACACACCTTCTACATGGTCATGCTGCCCGTCCTCTTCTGGACCGGACACACGGGCATTGGTCGGGCGTGAGTGAGCTGCCTGTCTCTTCTGATGAGTCTTTTTTTCAGAGTTACATACCTACTTTCGCAGAGTTGAATGTTAATTTTGATCGATGGGATCTACAGGGTGGTTCATCTGCTTGCTGCCGGAGTCTTCTTCAGCGGGTTCCTGAAGGACCTACTGTGTCTGCCACGGCCGCTTTCTCCCCCATTGCAGCGCATCACCATGTCCGGCTCGGCTGCGCTGGAGTACGGCTTCCCGTCAACCCACTCGACGAACGCAGTCTCGATAGTCGTCTACGCCCTGCATGCGCTACGCTCGCAGTCTGATCTCGCACCGCTTGCATCCACCTTACTCCAGACGGGACTGTACGTCTATGTCACTTCTATAGTGATCGGGAGGCTGTACTGCGGCATGCATGGCTTCCTCGATGTGGTGGTTGGCAGCATGCTCGGAGCTCTGCTTGGCTTCGTCCAATGCGTCTACGGGCCAAAGTTCGATGAATACCTCTTTACCGGCTCGATCAAGGAAGTCCTAGTCATCATTGCTGTCATCATCGCGCTGGTGCGTGTACATCCAGAGCCCGCAGACTCGTGTCCCTGTTTCGACGACAGTGTTGCTTTTGCGGGCGTCTTTGCCGGAGTAGAGCTGGGGAACTGGCACTTTGCGTCAACTAAGTATTCGCTTTCCGTCCCTACGCCGGCCACGGTTCCGTTTGACCTGCAACGCATGGGTTGGCTCAAGACCGTGCTTCGCATTATAATTGGCGTGGCATGTGTCGTCGTATGGAGGGAAGTGATGAAGCCCACGCTGCTCAGGATTCTGCCACCGCTGTTCAGAGTCATCGAGCGTCTAGGTTTGAGTCTGCCCCGACGGTTCTTCAAGCGTGCTACGTAGGTAACCTTCCCACGCCTAGCCCCTGCATCATCCACTAACGCTTTCGACAGGGAATATACGCGCATCCCGGGCCAGCTAAAGTACGACGACGTCATGCCAAACGTCTCGGACATTCCATCCATGCTCACTTCTATCCGTCACCCACGACGGCGGGCCGTCTCCATCGGCCCACAATCAGAAGCCGACGCCTATGAAGCCATTGCGTACCGGCAGGAACGCCGACGAGCCAGCGCAGCGTCCGAGAACGGCCGGCCACCCACTCCATTGCGCGAGAACGTCAAGAGCCCAACCCTACGGCCCACCACGCGCTCTAAACGAACGGCCTCCAATGTGTCAGACACGCAGTCTCCCTCGAGGAGTCTTCATGATTATGAGAATATGATGGGATCTGGAGCCCAGATCTATGAAGAGGGCAATGGGCAATCCGTAGATGCCCTTGCCAACGGTAATGGGAAAGTAACGAATAATGATGAGGATGATGAAAAGGACATGTTTTTGAGGATCACGCCACCTAGAGTGCGGTATGACGTAGAAGTTGTCACGAAGCTGATTGTTTACTCAGGTAGGTCCCCAGCATGCTAGTCCTTTTGCGTGTCATATGAACTACGCTAACTGCCGCCTAGGTATCGGACTGGTTGCCGTTGACGGCAGTCCCATATTATTCCACCTGCTGGGTCTCGACTAAAAAGTAACTAACAACTCTGTATATATACATACATACAACACACAACCCATGCACCCACACCATCATAATTAATTAGAACTTCGGCATATCCGTTATATCTCATTGCTTTTTCTTTGTTATATCGTCCTTTCTTTTTCGTAGTCACTGTCGTTGGCTCGTCGTCGTTTTCTTTGATGTCGTCAAGACAAAGATAAGCGCCATGACTAAGCACGCGTCTAAACCACGTGACATGCCCAAAAAAGGTTGCGCAGGGTTCACCTTTTTCGCTTTCTCTCCGCCTCCAGAACGCGTTTATTACCCCATTAGGGAACCTGCTCGGCTTCATATAAAACGAGAAGCGCCTCATGATAGCCGCGGCCGCACACTTCATCTCTTCCTCTCCCTTCTCCCGCGCGCTGCTCTCCCCCTTTGACTCTCCCCCGCCGCTCCAGCCTCTTTTTTTCTTGTGCTTTTGCTGCTGCTTCGTCTTCTGCGCCGGCGTTCTAGTAGTTCTCTTAATGCGCCTGCTGGACGAGCTGTCTTTTTTCCACAGAGTTCAACAGATCTGCCAGCAAGTATACCATAGCGTTGTGTCGTTTGTTTTTCTTCCTAGCATACCCCGTATACCCACCATACCCGGCCGTCAGAGCCTCAGCTTCAGTAACAGTAGACTGCTTGCCTGGAGACTACCTAGGGGTGGCATCCGTATCTTCCAGGCGAGCAGCAGGTCTCCTCCTGCATCTATATCGTCTATACCACCTATACCTCCGTCTACATCTACATCTACGCCTGTATCATCTTCTGCCTCTGGTAGCCCATCTGGTGGCAGAGGTGATTCTTGCCTCCATCGTAAGTGTGTGCTCAGTCTCTATGCTTCCATCCTCTGCCCTCCATCTCCATCGCCATAGCAACATGAATGAATGCTCTCACTTCACTTCACTTCACTTCGCCTGCCCGCTTACCTCACCCACACAAAGACGCGCTTCTCCCTCCCTCAGTATCAAAACATCCAAATATCTTCTTCCCTCTCTTCTTTTTTGTCCTCCCAACAACAACAACATCACCACGTCCATTACGGTCTTTACAGCTTCAACGTCTACTCACCATCCTTGCTTTTATCACGTTCAAGTCTGCTCTACCATCTGCTCCCTTTGTCTATCTCTGCTCTGCCAAATCCATCAGATCGGTCCTCTCGACTTCACCGGCTTCAAAGCTCAAGGTCTTGACATCTTGTCTTCTCTCCGTTTACCACCTTGCAAAACTGTCAACGCCCTTCTTTACCCTTCTATCAAGCTCAAAGACGTCTGTTACTGTCTTCTTTACCCTCTCTACCGCGTGTACCAGGTCTATCAGACCGTCTTCTCTCTCTCGTTGCCCTTCTATCACGCCCAGAGACTCCTGTTTACCCCTTACCAAAACTCTCTTCTACCACGCGTATCAAGACTATCAAGTCTACTCTACGTCTGTCAAAGACCATCGCGTCCATACCCACCTCTACCAAGGCCTTTGTAGCTTCAAAGCTCAAAGTCTTCTCTCTTCTACGCGTCTCACGTCAGACTGCTTCCAAAACTCCCTTACAACCCTCTATCAAACCTCTATCAAATCCATCACAGCCACTCTACAACCATCACAATGGCCTCTCAATCAGAACAGATGGAATGGGAGCCTACTACCCCCATCAGAACTCTTCTTCCAGGACAAGTTCTAACTTTACAGCGCGAATTACTCGTTGCTCGTGCAGGTCGAAGACGCACCATGGGGCTAGAATATCCCGCCACTTCAGCCGACCACCGTCCAGCACTCACCAGACGTCCTCTGGAGAGAAGCTCGCCCAAAAGGCAGTGGGCTCGTATCCTCGCTGGCGTCGATGTCAGGTTTGGAGAAGCTCCGCCTGCTGCTCCAGAGAATGGCCCCGTTACTCAGCCCTGTTTACCCCTGAACAAGGACTCGCCTCCTATCACGCCTAGAAAGCGCGTTATTGAAGAAGTCGACGAGCCAGAGCAGTACGAGGACCGTTTCTCTGACCAGACGGGACAGGAAGCACCCTCTTCTGTACCAAATGTAAGTCATATCTTTCTATCTTCTCATCTTCTATCTCTTTGGTTACTGATACATGTCTAGGTCATTGATTCCCCTCAGGATGTCTCAATGGTTGATGTCTTCACTCCTCCCCATCAGTCTGAGGAAACCGCTCCCTCTCAACCTGTGAGTTTCTTCTTCTTGTTCACTATTTGCAGCCAACTAATATCTTCCCGTAGAGCCCACCACAAGTGGAAGAAACCGCATCCTTGCTAGAGGCTATAGGTCTCAGGAGTCCCGAGGGAACAAGAGTGAAGGTGAATAACATTCATCTATTTATGTGATATATATAATGCTAACGTCTCTACTAGCGACCTAACTGGTTTGAACTACAAAACAGAAATCGAGATGGCATGGCAGGCTCAGTAAGTGATCAGGTGCCCCTTTTCTGCATATTGATACAGTAACAGCTAACCAAGCCTATAGAGCCTTGAAGCATCACTGCAATTCGGCAGCTCAAGCCACGGAGCTGTCGATGTCAATTCACTTCTTTCGCAAATTCCAGGCAGCTGGCCAGTGTCCCCGCCCAGACCCTTGGCGGCGCCAGTTGACCTGCCCGTCCAGCCCTCTCCAGAGGTAAAGGACGCTCTGCCATCACCAAACTCTCGAGCTAGGGAGTTTCTGATGGTGGGGGGCATAGAATCTGCCGGCCCGGAAAGAAGTACAGTGGTGCCTCGCCCGGCTGACGTCCCCATGACATTCTTACAACCTGAGTCACGTCTTCTCAAGGTAAGTTGCACCCTATATACCCCTTAATATATGGCTTTTGTTAATTCCTTTTAGACTGTGGAGTGCCTCCGATCTGCTTACAGTTTGCCAAAATGCTTAATGGACTGCTATGGCTGGACAGTACAAACCAGCAAGAATATTATTTCGTCAGCGAAGAGAATAGCCATCGATTCATGGACATCCCAGACCTCTCAGGCTACCCCCTTACCCTCTGTTACTAGGCAATCTCCACGCAGAAGAACCGAATCGAGACGTGACCGGAAGCTCCCGGGCTCGAGCATGGAGCAGCGGCGCGCACGTCAACTCCAAGAGAAGCGCATGAAGAGAAAGAAGACAGCATCCCGCGCTGTCCACGAGCTACAGTCCAGTATCACAGCCGAGCTTTACGTCCCTGAAGCAAAGCCAGTGCCTGTGCCGTCTGCTGCTCCTGCTCCTGCTCGGTTAGACCAGCGAGGTGTCTCTCGCCGCCATCGATCGAAGACTGCCAAAAGTTCGATCGAGAAAATCATGCCGCACAAGCCTGGTTCCGCTATTGCACCAGGCCGCGTTACCAAACAACGCCTTGTGCGGCCGGCGAAAGATACCTTCAGAGGATCGATAATTGAATATCGAGGCTATCGCCCAGATGCCTCGTTTGAGGAGAGACGTCGGAGAGTCGAGAAGTTGAACTTGGATTTCGTTTTAAAATCCCGGCCTGCCCAAGTTCTCCTACCTGAGCCACAACAACAACCCGAGTCACCCGTCGCGCCAGTGACTTCAGAGCTCAGCGAGACCTCCGAACCTCCGCCACCCGCCAGTGCTTCGGTGCCATCAACTACCACTGGACCGTGTATCACCACCGAGCCATCAATCCCAGAGGGTGTTACACCCACCGACTTGTCTCGTAAAGATGAGTCGTACGATGGCTATACACCGAGACCAGCAGGCCCACGCACTCGGCGGCGAGTACACTGGCATGAAGCCAGTGGTGCTCCACTCGGACAGCCAGTTGTTGACATCCGCGTCTATGACCCCAGCGCTCCAGTCAGACCAGCAGCAGGGGTGGAAGACAGTCAGCAGCCGGCGCACACAACTATTGGCGACAAGTCACCAGAGGGCCCTTTCATCAAGCCCATCAGCAGCAAATGGGACTCGCGTCTCACTGCTGATATGTCCCTTCCCGATTACCGACAGGTTGGGACAACGATCTCTGGTGACCCCCTGACCCGTAAGGATTTTGCGACATGCTACACCCCGTTAGCGTGGCTCAATGACGAGGTGATAAACGCATACCTCGCAATAATCCTTGACTACGCTCGAAGGGCATCGGGCAGTTCAGGGAGGCATCGGGAGCCCAAATACCACGCCTTCAATTCATTCTTCTACTCTAGTCTCAGGGACCGAGGCTACGAGTCCGTACGGCGTTGGGCTTCCCGGGCTAAGATTGGGGGTCCGGCCTTGTTGGGGGTAGAGGTGGTTCTCATCCCTATCCACAACCAAGCGCACTGGACCCTCATGGTCGTCAAACCGAAGGCTCGAACCATAGAGTACTTCGACTCCCTAGGCGGCGCTTCACGAGCTCACATCAGCCGAGTGAAGGAATGGCTCCAGGGAGAGTTGTGTGACCTCTTCGTCGAAGAGGAATGGCGGGTTCTCCCGACAAACTCTCCACAACAGGACAACGGCAGCGACTGTGGGGTGTTCCTCCTAACCACTGCTAAGTTGGTGGTGTTAGGCTTGCCTCTCTCATATGGGGCGAGAGACATTCCCACGATCCGCAAGAGGATCGTTGCCGAAATCCTCAATGGAGGGTTCGAAGGAGATTTCGACCCGAAGGTTGAGTTCCCTGTCAGACCTAGGCTGTAATAACCTGATATCTGGTTCATAGCTCTATACCGGACGGAAGAAACAAGAAACAACCTGCCTGGTTCCGAGTGTGTGTGGCGTAGAGATGGATGAAAGCATCGCCTCGGATATTTTGTATCCGCTGCACGACACGCCCAAGCTTCCTTCGGGAATGTTTAGGGTGTGACTGTTCTACATTGGCAGAGGTGGTTGCAGTCCTGCTGTGCCCCGAACTTTTGGGTCCTTTAGGTTCCCATTGTCGAGGGTGCTCAGCCTGTTTTTCGCCCGAGCCTTTATAGAGCAGACCTTCCGTTGCCAGGCATGTTCCTCATCCTACTCCCTCAACAATTTTTCGATCCCGCTGGCGAGCTTCCGCAAAGGTCTCGGGGTGATGGTTCCGACAGAGACGACTTCGAGGCAGGCTCTCTTCATTGAGAGCCAGTAAAGTCCTCTTCCACTATACCATAACCATGAAGTCATGTCAATGTCGGCTCCGGATGCCAAAGCTGCAAATCTAGTTTGGGGATTTGCAGATTCAAAAATTTACGATAGAAAAGTGATGTTGGAGTTTTGGGACCGCATGGGTGCGGTGTGTTTTGATATCTTGTTTTTTTTTCTGTGTAATTTAGCCTGGAGTTGGGGCTTGTTTTGATGCTTGAATTGGGCTTTTATGTCTTTTTTCGTCGCGCGTTTAATCGCGCTGTATGAATAGATTTGGAGAGCGATGGGCTTTTACTGCCCTACGTAATGCATGCATTTGATGGATTGGTCTTGATTAGATTTTGGTAGTAAGCATGGTTGGTAGCCCATGAGGCTTTGTTGTACTAGGGCCTTTATAACTTTGAGGTTTGATAGGCCTATATTTGATGAGCAGTAGTGAATCACCAATGTTACAATGTTGGAAGATCCCGCAGTGATTAACAAAGAACAAGAACAAGAAGTATTATTCCAAGCAGTTGATTCTATCACTACCAAGTTAAGCCTGACAATGAAATCAATATTCAGGCGCTGGACTAGTACTACTTCACCTTCACTCGAATATAACAATAGGCAGGGTCATATATGCCGTCCATTCGCCTACTTAACATAACTGAGAACCATTCGAGCTCTAAGCTCCGAACAGCCAAAGGGCTGTCTGGCTATCCAAATCGTCAAAAAAAAAAGGGGGGAGAATGGAAAAACGCTGCGCATCACAAGGGACAGATAGCATGAACAGGCCATCAAATGACCTCAGGGACCCCTTGGGTCCTAACCCCATCAACGCGACAAACTACTTTGCACTTTTCCTCCTGGCTGTCTTCGTCATTTGGCTTGGGTTTTGTCTTTGGCTTTTTGCCCTTATGCTTGCCTTTGCCCTTCCCTGTGCCCTTATTTTTTGGACGGCCACCAATCTTCCCTTTGCCGACTTGTTTCTTCTTGGGTCTCGGGCGGCCGTGTCTAGCGGGTTGGAGGGAAGGGACTTTGTTCGCCCTGGGCTGCGCGCCCTCGCTGTCCTCGTGCTTATCGTGCTCATCGCCTTCGGTTTCTGACTCAAGACCAGCCCGGATATGTTTCTTGTGGGCTCCTTCAACATCAGAAGTTTTGTTGTATACCATCTCCACCCATTCAACGCCCATATATACCGATGAACCGACGGTCATGTTCCCCGTCCATTCGCCGCCATCGCTCCATAGGTTGAGGATCAACATGCTGGGATGTTTGGGAACCCCATACGTTTTCGACACAAGTTGTTCACCATTAAAGTACCAACGGCTAATGTCTTGGAACCAGTCAATTCGATGGTCTCCCCAGTGAGTCCAAGGAATAGCGATTTCTACCTCATCACTTGCACCGGGTATGGATTCATCAGTCTTGGGGTCCCAGTCCGGCTGATTAGCATACCGGACGAGGTTTGAGGGATCGCCTGTGAGGATTTCAATGTCCGATTCGTCGTTTTTTCCGTAGTATGTGAAAACACCTGCACATGCACCGACTGGAGGGCCCTTTATCCAATAGCTAGTTGGGAGGAAATAATGAGCATCATCTTCTACGGTACTTATGTTTCCACCCTTTTCTTTCGGAAAATAGAACCATCCCGAGTTAGCATATAGACGTAGCCTGACCCGAAGTGAAACATGAAAGATATCAGTATCATGAGTCTGAACCTCTGCCGTGGAAGTATGGTTTTCCATCCGTACAGTGCGAAGAACCATATGTGTTGTTTCGTCTCCCCTTTCCGTGCTATTGCGTACTATGAAGACATTATGATGTGAGTTTCTAATCGGGATCGGGAAGAGGGCTGATCCCTCTCTGTTCCAGTTCTGGACATCCCAGTCCTCAATGAAGCGGCTGCCGGCCAGAGTAGGATGGAACTCGTTGCTGTCAGCATTAGGATCGGGGGCTCCTCCAGCTTCATTATCGCGGCCTTTTGAGTCGAAATCAACCACGCTGCCGGGTATGTGTCCAGGTATGCCTCCACGTCCGGTCCCAGGCAGTCTTCGAGAGGTTATATTGCGTCTCTGTTGCTGCTGGTGCTTCTCCTTATCTGCAGCAAGCTCTAAACCCCGGTTTCGGAAATCATAGAAGCGGTGATGTTTGAAATACCCTGGGTCTTCACCAGAAACGACGTAGCAATCGCAGGGATCGGATGGGTTATTGTGATTAAGGTCTCTTTGCTGAAGCTTATCCCAGCTACTGGCTGGTGTTGATGCTGTAGCAAGGCCGAGAAGAAGGGTAGAGCAGAAAAACCCGGTCAGGGGAACAGTACAGAGGCCCCTCATAGCTAACGGGGTGTGCGTATGTCATGGGCAAAGGGATATTGACATTTCTCCTGTAAACTGAGATGCCATGCATTTATATATCTCGAAGCCATTTTTCGGTCACCGTAACCATGGTTGGGAAAGAGCCAGCCAGTATCAACAAAGTCATCGTCGTCATCGTCATCGTCATCACGACGGGAGAGCAGTATACATCGGTATCATATCAGCAGACCAAGTACTGCTACATTAATCAATTTATACTGCTTCGAGATGACCCTAGCTAGCCATCTAAGTCCTAGAACTCCCCACGATTCCGTGTGCAACAAGCCTCTCAAGTACTCAGAGGTATAGTTAGATGTTCGTAAACTTAATGCCGTGAGAAGGGTTCTCCTTTGATAATGCTCTTAGGGAACAGGATATACATATCCAGGGAAGATGCGGTATCTTTGGGCTGTCATTATCATTGTAGGTACGGAGTACTTGCAAAGAACTGCTTCGTTGATCCATGAAGTCTTCATGATAATAAATTCTTCCCTAAATAATAATAATAATTGGTTATTATGCTCTTTCTTTTAAAAAATTAAGACTTTCATCCAATCATCGAGCAAAGCCAAGAACAAGAACTTAATCTATCCAATCACATCCACCCATGCGGCTCAAGTTCAGTGATCACGTGAATGGGATATATTTAATCCGTTAACTCTTGGCGCCATTTCCCTTTTCGTCCGCCGCCAAAAGTGACCACTCGGGGCGAAGTCGCTTTTGTTGTCGCTCGAGAAAAGATATAAACTGCAGTCCTTTTCTTGTCTCGAAGACGGTCAGGATGGGAACTGTGAGAGCCGTGGGAGCGTTTGTTTCGTCTTGTTTCCCTTGACTTCTCTGCTAGATCGTGATAGGGTGCACGGTGACTGTTCAAAGCACTTTAACTTCGAGCTACTGGCAGAGAAGAACCAGGGAGAAGGCTGGAGACACAATATGTATACATATGAAGATCGATGCGACGATTATATTTAATACGCTGCTATATCATTTATCTGCAGACCAAAGAAAGACATGGCTGGCTGCTTCCAGAGATGCCACTTTGATTATACGGCGTTCTCTCCCATCCTCTCTCCAAGAGACCCTCCCTGGCGGCTGTGCCTCATTCCAACAACTCTGGGCCGGGTTGTTCTGCCTGGACATCCTGCCGGGTGAGACGCCTTACTCTCCGTTTGGATGGTGACTGGACCGATCATGATTCTGGCTGTCGTTCAGCCTCGACGCCATACTCCGTACATCTTAGGATGTTGCAGCCTGCCCACCATGATACCCGATACCCAAGTCATACGTTATGATATTGCATGATAACGCCATAATACTCCGTATATAGATCGATAATGTTGACAACAAAATCAGTGTAGCATGTGGAGCTAACGAGATCCCATATCCATGAAGATCAACTCCGTGTCTCCCTCGCTGAGCCTCATGCCCAAACTCAGCCTTATGAAGAGGCGACCTTGAACCTGTCCCGGCTCGACAGGGAGTATCCATTCCATAGGTTGGGTATCAAAAGTGCCATGTCCACCATGAGCCTCTAGATAGCCTATCTGAAAGAGATTAAACAAAGCATCTGGATGGACTTGTTACTATTCATGGGTGGGATCGGGCCACATGACTCACACAGCCAGAGCGACCAGGCACCAGGCCTAGAAGCTGAGTGGTGGCTTCACTAAGGATAGAAGTTCCAACACAAACAACCTCGGGTTTGGTTGATCCACTGGGAGCTCTCATCGATGATGGCCGGTGATGGCCTATGATGATGTTGCCATCCTCTGCCTCGAGTACGGGTGCTTTCATATTGTCCAGTCAAGTACGGAGTAAAGGCGACCGCGTGACGTACACCGTAAGCTGTCCATTTTATTGTTCATTGTGATCAAGCGTATTGCTCATTGTATCTCCTTCGCATTTTTCGCCTTTTACCGTCTTCTCTTGATCGTCCTCGTTAAAACTGACCGTGTCAAGCGTCTCGATGACTCGATGGCTCCTCTCTGGGACGCGCCGAAGAAGCACGAATCCGTCACGCAGTCATGTGCCGGGCATGTGGGAAGTCAGGAGTCCGTCTCCTACCCTCCTCTTCGTGCAAATTCAACAAGATTAAATACCGTCATGCCACTAGCGCATACACAGGTGTTACCCTTGTTGTGATACCCCAGGGATCCATCCGGGAGCCCAAAGCACCTTGTTTGTCCAATCACCGGACTGAGCTATCTTCGTCCAGCCAATGGCGCAAGCCTCTGTGGCACCCCTGGCGCCCACGGCCCACCGCTGATGTCAGGCTGCGTTCGGGCAGAAGCTTGCCTTTGTGTCCTCCCTTTGCTTGCTCTGCTTTTTTGCTTGCTCTGCTTTAGTTAGAGGAGAACAAACAAGGAGAAGGGCAGAGGTTTGCCTGCTAGCAGCAGATTCTTTGCTGCTGCTACTACTAAGGAGGACTCCGTGAGAGCAGGATACGGGTATATGCTCCGCGAGGGCGAGGAGGGAGGTGGAGGAAGCGGAGGAGAATAGATTACGGACGGGGTGCCACGGCAGCGCCGGCTGATGCAGGCGAGCGACCATCGTATTCCGTGCATGGCGTTGGATCTGGCTTCCGCTTTGGGACTAGTGAGCCCTACGCTGGCACAGGCCATCCCTGTCCAACTTTTCTTTCATGCTTTTTCTGGTGTGTTCAGCCAGACTTGGCGGCGCTCATCCAGCCCTGGCTCATACAAAGACTGATCGATGGCCACCGCCCCCTTTGCTGGCCACTGTTCCATACTCCGTACTCACCGTCAACGCCCAAGACCATCAAGACCATCGACATCGACATCAAGACCGTCGTCCCTTCGTCACCAGTTTAATGGATATATTAGTCTAGACGCCAAACTTCATCTCACAACCACACGTACACCCGATTTGTTCAAAATGGATATCACCTGTGCTATGGTCTAGGAGCGGACGGTTCATTCATACCAACGTCTATGTCGAAGACTCGACATCGTCTATGAATACCGCTATCCGCTAATCGACCATGACCACCATCACCACCGAACGAAGCCCAGTGCTCCTGAGAGCCACGAGCATGACGGGGGGTAGCCCCCGGTTGTCCCTGAAGCGCGAAATATCTCCTCCATCAGCCTCCGATCCACAGCTTCTCCATATCCACGAGCGTCTGAACCAACTTGATGCAAAAGTATTCGACCTTCGATCATCTGCTCTGACCAAGGAGTCGTATGTCGACCGCCGGAACAAGGAAGATGAGTTCCTTCGACGAGAGTTTGATCACCAGCGAGCCATCACGGCTTCTATTGAGGCTGTTGTTGGCAAGACCAGATCAGACGTCTCCCACCTCAAGTCATTGAAGACCGACCTCTCTTGCCTTGGAGCGGAAATCTTCCAGCTCAGAACAAGCGTGAACCATATATCTTCCAAGGATGGATTCTTGCATTCAGATATCACCCAGATTCGATCCCATCTCGACCAGCTGCAACACGATGTTCAGCGTATGCACTCTGACGTGTGCTCCACCAGGATCGATGTCAGCGGTGTTCAAGCTTCCGTCAGCCAGCTTAAGATCGACCTCATGACGATGCAGAGAGATACAAGACAACAGTTCAAGCATATGGATCGAATCAGGTTCAACTCGCTCGCAATCACCGCACACGCTCCCATCACCCCTGTCCCTGTTATTGGGGATGATGGCTCGATCAAATTTCCCAGCTACTTCCCTCGAACCGTCTGGAACTTTTGGTGCTTGAAGAAAATGAATAGGGGTGAGTGAATCATTGATTCATTTGATACGTACCTTCCCCCAACTTGCAAGTAAATTAACATTTCTTTTCCTCTTCTCTTCTCCAGCACATCGTCTTGTTGAACTCGCGGAGTTCTACCAGCTCGAAGGTTATCAATACTGGAGTCGCATGGCGAGTCCTCATGAATCAACCTTTGCCGCAGACGGGTATATGAGCGATGATAGTGACTCCAGTGAGTTGCCATCTGACATCACTCGATCCGAGGCTGCTCGCCTATATCCAGAAGCTTGTCACCAAGCTCTGGCAGCCACCTTGGGTCTCGTATACTATAAGATCCGCAACGAGATGGGTGAAGGCCGTCATTCTCACCTCATGCCTGCTCATGCGGCTGCTCCCAAACGCACCCAGGAGGAAATTGTATCTCCACAATCCTCTCCCAGACGCCGAAAGGTAGCTCGTCGTTCGCAAGACATTGCATCGCCAACAGGAAGCGCCCTTCCTCACAAGATCATCACCAATTTCATGACTGCTCCAGCCGGTGATGCCAAGTCTATTGTGTCCGAGGGACTCGACAAGCTCGTCTGGAACGTCGAACAGACCCAGATCTCAGAGGAGACGATGTCTAAGTTCTCAGACTTCGTCAGGGATGAGCCTAACGCTCTGTTGCTCCTTCAAGCCCTCGAGCGTGGCCGTATCAAGTTGCAGCCTAGCCATATGGAGCGAGCCCGCGTCTCTCCTACCGAGACGTCTTCCAAACGAAGCTTCAGGTCTGCAAAGCGTGGTCCGCACGAGTCTGGCTTGGGTGAGGCAAAGAGTGATGATTTTCCTAGTGAGATGAACACCGTGCCAACCGAGATCATGTCTCCGCATTCTGCCTCTCGGTCCGAAGCTGAGCAAGAAGACGAGGATGAGGCTCCCCCTTCATCATCTCCCCCTGAAGCTAAGGAATAGGTCACCATGGCCCTCCTTCACACTGTTGCCTGTTGGCGATGGTGGTCATATTTGATATCTGGCCCCTGGGCTGTGTCTTGTTTGACTTGGACGTCTCTCTCTCTCTTCTATTTTTGGATGAAAGAGGGGGCGGTCACGTTATACTCACGTGGTCCTCCACCTCCCGTCACTTTATATCGACTTCAACCTTTCAACTTCAACACTCGCTCTATAACACGCATCCATACCAACTACACTACCTCGTGTAATGACTTAATGACTTGACCGTCGACAGTCAATGCATTTCCCGGTGTTGTCATTCACATTTTTACCTGGCTGGGATCGGATCGGCTCGGTTCTTGGGCTTTTGGCTTCTTTCTACGGCGGCGGCTACATTGCATTCAATCGCTGGCATATCGCGAACTTTGGACCTGGATTGGGATTGGTTTACGGAACTGCATTTATGGATGGCACACGGATGGGTCAGGCGTCCTTCTTTCAATCAACGGAGATACCCCCTTTCGAATATCTGTGTAATGATATTTCAACAACTGTCTACCCACGCCATGGCCACGACCAACGCTCAACTGCTATACTCCATCCCAATTCCTTGTCCCTCGACCCCGATAAGTTATCAAGATTATACTTGGAACCTTCTATAATCCAACCAAACAAGCTCGTTCCAACGAACACCCGCGTTAACCTGGACTATAAGCAGTCCTTCAAGCTGAATATTTAGACACTAGTGTCACCCCCTACTATCTACCTATATCCTACTTATTGTCATATACCCTCACCGTATATTCCTGTCTCTTTTTTCTGGCGTTATTTGGATTGGCGAATGGAAAGTTTCGTTTTGTAAATAGCTATCATTAACGTGATAGGTATTAGGTTTCATATTAGTCATTACTTCAATATCTTCTCTTCCACTGTCGTAGACGTGTTCCCTATATATTCCGTCGTAGGTAAGTGCTTCTTAACCTTAGGTTGTCGAAGATTTACATTCCAGCTCATAGAAGGCTGATGGCTTGGTTCTTCCTGGCAGACTATGCCTTTCTCTACTTGCTACGGAGTATGATTGTTGAGAATCGAAAAAAAATCGCGCTTTTTGCATTTTTATATATTACAGTAATGATATTATGACTAGGACAACATTTATATTGAATCATCTGCTGTCTATGTCGACAGCCGGGGCCCGGGCGAGACGCATCATGTGACAACCATTTTGGGGTTCCGTCTACATCCGAGCACAACAACAACATCAACCTCCTCAGAACAGTTCTACGACTGGTAAAGTCTCCTGGGCTTGTGGCCTTGGAGTGAGTCTCCTGCTCTTGAGGAACTTGTAATCCGGCATGGCCTCCCTCACTAACCGCTCGATTCTCTTTCCAGCGCGATATCCAAATTCCAAACACCATTTCTTCGCCTCCGTTTCGATATCAATGGACCCTGCTGTTTTGCCTTGAACTATACCCCCCCGAAGCAAGGAGAGTTGACAGGTATCTCTTCGTGAATGGATCCATCTGCTTTTTCTGCTTCACACTAGCAGGTGTCCAGGAAAAGCTAAGCTGCGAGATGTCCATACCCATGATCTCAGCGAATCTGACAACCACGTCAGGATCAGTCATTATGTCGTCTGCATCAAGGATGATGGGCCATGTAATGCGTCCGTCTATGTAAGATTCGGTTGCCGTCAAATTTCGTGAATACCAATCGTATAGTGCCCGGGTCCAGCGCAGTGTCATGCAATGCTCTCCCAAGGAATCGGCCTCTTCGTCATTCGCCGGGGTCTCCAGCTCCCACAAGGCACGGTATAATGATGGGAAAGCAAGAGCAGGATGTCTGATGAGGAATGCTGGTGACCATGTTTTGAGGAACTCGTCTGGCAACACGGTCTGGTTGAGAAATGATTGTTTCGGTTCTAGACCGTATGATTCAGGAATTTGAAGCGTCCAGGGAATGTCGTGTGGTGTGTTGTTTGCGCCAAAGACTAGCTCGCTGAGTGCGGTGGGTTTGACCAAAAAATGAACATGCTCCTTTATGATGACTGAACGGCGTTGTAATGATGCTGCCTCCAGGTATTCTTGGAATTCGTCAAAGCACTCCTGGTAGCTCTGCTGCACTTGTTGTATTTCATTTGGTGTCCAATCTGCCATACTCTTCGAACGGAGGCCTAGATCCGTCATCAACTTTATAGTCGGCAGGAAAATATACCCACCACGGTCATCTCCAGAGACAAAGTCGGGCTGGTTATCCAGGCCTAGCATTCGAACCAGGAGGTTAGAACCAGTACGGGGATAGGTGATCAAGTAGAAACGACGTGGGTTATGCGCCTTCATGGTTAGGAGGTGTGTTTCTGTCTCTTCTCTGTGTGGGTGACTTGTGCAGATATTCCGGTAATTTGACTAGAGATCTTATATGCCCATAGTAGGGTAACCTTCTCCCTATATTCCAAGGATCCAGTATTTTTATACCCGTGCTAACTCACTTGGAATATTCTAAGCTGGATCTGGGAAGGGCAACGCGTTACGCTCTGTTTGGAGTCAACGGCACCCGCGGACAGCGCACCTCTTGCCATCTTACGCCAAATTTCCCCCAACTGCGCATCCTGTGTTACTTGTTTTAGAGCAACCACGTACTACTTGCCCACCAGTTGTGGCCTCCTATCAGATCCTATCTCTCAGTTAAAAGCAGTGGATGCTTTCCCACAACATTGTCAGACGTGGAGTACTTTGTGCCATAATCAAGGGGTTGACCTTGCGGCGAGAATTATGATTTGCCAACTCTGCCTGGATCTCCAATCTAAAGTAGAAAACTATGACCGCCCGTTTCGCAATTTCACAATCTATGCAAATGGGCTTGTGCCTAGCACGATCTATTTAGTTTTTTTTCTGAGGTTGTACTCATAGCTTCAGCCACAGCATAGAACCACTCGTCATGCACAGGCAGATTTCCTGCAACGCGATAGGTAAATATATATATAAAAAATGGGTTCCCTGTTGCTTTGGGGCGATCGATTTCCAGGCCCAACGACAAAATCACCACAGATTTTTCACCTTTATTTCCTAGCACCACGGCCAGATTTAACACCTAGTCAATATGGCCAAAGACCGTTCCCCTAGCCGATTTTACCTCCTTACGTGCCCTCGAACGGCCTCCAACCTTCTTATGAAAATTCTAGCACTCGAGGGACAAAGCAACGTTGCCTACCGTGAGGATGGAGGCTACTTTTTCTCTCCACTCCACCTACTACGATACGACCTAAATTGCGTTGGAACACATGTTGAAGAATTGACACTCGAACAAAAGGAAAAGCAGATAGCCTGCATCAAGAGTTGCTATAATACTCTTGTTCAGCATGTTGAGGACGCTGAATCGAACGGGAAGCTCGTCATTGTGAAGGAGCACACGCATTACCTGACGGACCCAGTAGCCGAGACCGAATTCCTCCACGGCGAGGGATGCGTTACTAACGAGCTACCTTGGGTGATGCATGGAATGGACGATTTGGTGCAGAGTACTGATGGCCGGTCAACTCATAATAAGACCGTTTTCTCGGACGACTTTTTAAAAACGTGGCGACCTATATTTTTAATCAGGCATCCAGCACTGGCTTTCCCTTCGTGGTATCGTGCCGCAGTCAGGGCAGATGGTGAAGAGAAAGCCAGGTCAACCCAAGGGAAACTCGCGTGTAAGAAAGTCATGACTCTGCGCTGGACACGCAGATTATACGACTTTTACATGCAGGAATCCAATAATACCAGTGCTACTGGTAGGAACCTCGGGGAGGGGAGAGATAAGGGTATGTGGCCTCTGGTTCTCGATGCAGACGATATCATGACGCAGCCAGAGGTTATCATCAGGTTTTGCAACATTGTCGGGCTGGACAGCGACAAGTTGAAGTTCAACTGGGAGAAGGACGAGCAACAGAGACGGCCCGGTATCATGGCATTTAGGTCAACCATCGATAGTTCTACCAAGATCGATCCGAGCAAGGCTGCCGGCGATGTTGATATTGACCAGGAGGCAGCGAAATGGCGGGAGGAGTTCGGAGAAGAGATTGGGCGCCTGGTGGAGGAGTACGTTCGAGCCGCGATGCCGGACTATACCTACCTGAAATCCAAAAAGCTCGTAGCATAACAGTGTACATTATAGCCCTCAGTCTTATATACATACTTGCGTGTTCAAATGCATTCAAAGTACTTCGTACGAAGTAAACAAAAAAAATCTCATCAAATTCGTCTAGAGTTTTGACCAAATTCTGGGGAACAGGAGGTTAGGTTATTACATAATCATGTTTGCGCTGTTTGCATCCGCAGCTGCCTGGACCTCGGAACTTCGTTTGGCGCCCAAAAGCAACAGCCGACAAAGCGAGCGAACGAAGAGCCGCTGGGCAGCTGTCTAGGTTGCTATATAACCGATGATATAGACCGGAGACTGGAGCTCACGGCCTATCCAGCTGTATTCTGGTCCCTGCTTCGAACTATTCCTTACGGCTTCTCCTCCCGTCCTTCGTCACGCCCAAAGCATTATGACGGCTGTTGCTAAGAAGCGGTTGCAAGCCCTCAGCCAGCAGCTGGTAGAAGGTATCCCTGATGCCGGCGAGTTTGAGAATATTCCCAGGATCCGGGAGGTTGCTCAGGACTCTCTTGGACCGTGAGATGCCTTTTTCGTTATTAGATCTTTGTCTGCGGGTGCTGATGAGTTGCGATTGCAGAAGAATCAAGGACAAGGTCGTGATTATAACCGGTTGGTTGTTTACCGCTACTCCGTCTGTTGATTGAGATATTGCTAACATATCTTTGCTTGAAAGGAACTAACTCTCCCATCGGAATCGGACGAGCAACGGCCCATCAGTATGCCCGGCATGGTGCCAAAGCTATCTATATCTGTGACTTTGCAGATTCACATCTCGACGTACACAAGCGGGAGATAGAATCCTTGTACCCTGGCGTCAATGTTCATACGAGGCAGTTTGATGCTGGAGATGAAGAAGAAGTCAAGAAGGTTGTTGACGACGTGATAAAAACTTATGGCCGGCTGGACATCATGTTCGCTAATGCGGGGATCGTCGGGGCTCCGAAACTGTTTACCGAAGTCTCTGGAGAGGAATTTATGCAAACGATGGATACGAATGCCAAGGGGTAAGCCTTTACTTCGATCATGTTTCAAGATACCGGTTTGATGATTGACTGGTGGTCACAGCCCCTTCCTGGCTACCAAGTATGCTTCTATAGCCATGAGGAAGACATCTCCTGCCAAACCGTACCCAGCCGGAAGCATTATTCTCACTGCTTCTGTTGCTGGTATGCGGTCCAACGCTGGTTCAACAGATTACTCGGCCAGCAAAGCTGCCGTCATTTCGTTAGCACAAACATGTTCATTCCAACTGAGTGGTACTGGGATTCGCGTCAATGCAATCTGCCCGGGCGTGGTAGAGACTGGTATGACAAAGGCAATGTACGACCATGCTCGCAGCAGAGGAACGGAGAAGAAAATCGGACAGCTGAATCCATTGATGAGAGGGGCTGTTTCTGACGAGATTGCTCGTGTTGCCTTATTCCTAGGTAGCGACGAGAGTAGCTACGTCAATGGTCAGGCATGGGCAGTCTGTGGAGGCTTGAGCGCCGGGCATCCATTTGTGCCTGGAAAACTAGCATAATGAAAAGGTTAACATATTAAATATGATTTTCCAATATGGGTACATATATATGTATACATCAACGCCTTCTTGTATATGTATACAAATCAACACGACATATGATCCAATATTTCGTATTCCGTATATCCTCGGGTTTCCCGGATATCATGAGATGAAATGCAGCCGACTATTCAAAATACGATGCAACATTTTCTTCCAAGTCTCTCCTGAGTACTTCCATTACCTTTAGAGCATTTAGCTCAGCGAGTCTTTTTGCTTCTTCGCTTTCCTCTCCTTCATCTATCTCCCCTTCTTCACCAGAACCGTCTGGGTCGATATCATCTTTGTACTGAGTTACGTACTGCTCTTCCAGCAAATACTTCTCACCTGATATCTGATCTGGAGAATGCTCAAGCACATAAAAAGTGGGGAACTCGAGGACAGTTCTGTCGCGAAGCACCGCTCCCAAGGCCAATGACTGGTCTGTTACCGGAATGAGAACCGGGACTTTGGCGCATGTCTGCGGCCTGTGCAGGTAGATATGTAGTTGTGTTGATGAGCCATCATTGTTAGTAAGAGGGTTATCTTCGGGTGCTGGTGGAGCTGTGGATGTTAGAGCTACTGGTAGCGGCGTTAGGGGAGGCTCGCTCTCGTTTGCGGACGGTAATGCAGGTCCGGGGCTCAGTGTTTTAGATGAAGATACATCGTCTGGGGCGGGATCACCATTCTCTTCCACGCTTACAGAACCTTCAAGAGTGCAAGATGTGACTGTGCTTGCTTCCACTGGATCAATGGCACCGTCCCTGACGATCTTTTCAATGGATACTTTCCTCTTTTTCGCTGGAGGCTCTGTGATCTTCTCATCGTTTAGGCGGCTGGCAAAACCTAGTTCCTTAACCAGCGGCACGCGGGTGAGTGCCGTTCCAACGCTGGTGTTCTCTAAGCACTTGGTTATTGTTTTCTGGCCATCAGGGAATATCCACTCAACCGCCCAGCTTAGACATCTTCGTCTATAGGAGCATAGATCAGCTTGCATTCGACAGCCATGACAACCGGGTGCAACGGGAAGAAACTCACTTTCTATGCCAATGGGATGTATTCAATTTATTCCGCGTCATTCCCTTTGGAGCTTTGACAATGCGCACGCCACTGTTCTCCATGCCACGCTGCAAGGGCAACTCGCCTCGCGCCATATCACTCCGTTGCTTTGCCTTGCCTCCATCGGGATCGGAGTTGGGGACGAGATCGATCCCTCGGGCTTCGGCATCGACTTCGGCACGCTCAAGTGACCTTTCAATGCCCGTAAGGAAGTTGAAGTCCTTGTCAAATGCAGCTGGTGTGGCCAATTCGTTTCTCTTGAGGTATTCAGCTGGGTCTCGGATGCCAGAGCATTGTGACCATAGCTTATGGCGTTTGGAGCAGGCTAGTGAGCACGTGCGGCTAGCGCACCGGGGGCACTTGTACTTTTGCCTCTTTTCATGGCTATTATCCCATCATTCTATTAGCTTCGTCCCGGATCCTCTGCCATTCCTCCATGTCACCGACAGTTTGACCGCCCCTTCTGCCGGTTGCGTTAAGAATCGACGTACCAAATTGCGCACAGCTGCGTGAGAGGCAGCTCGGCCAGCTGGATTTCCTTGTCCATCGCCCTCTCAATAATTCGACTCGTAATATAAGTTAGTTTCAGCTGCGTTGGCTGTCCGTCTTTGCTCTTTTGCCGTCGTCGTCCTTCTTATTCTTCCTCGAAGCTCGAAAAAAAAAGTCGATGAGCTCATAATCACGTGAGATATCTTATCGATAAATATTAGTAATCAAGTGTTATTCGAGGAGGCAAAAAAAAAAAAATTAAATTAAATGAAAATGAAGATAAAACGAATTTGATATATAAAAATAACCGAACGAAGATGCAAAAAAAAGTGAGCTGTGTCTTCTGGGGTTGTTTTCGATGGCGATGCTAAGAGCTTCGTGCTCTGTAGATCGTCTCGTTTCAGATAGAAGAACTTGGAAGCGGAGCCATGAAGCTCTTGTGTCCGGAGTACCGATTTGTCTTCATCTCAGTCAAACGTCATGTGTAAATGAAAGGGGGTCGCCCATGCTGGAGTCGGGGGATTCTATGTAGGGATTGGGGCCTTTTGAGAGCTCAAGTCCTGCAGGGGATTATTATTGGCTCCCTTTCGCTGACTTTCTTCATGTCTTTTTTGCCTCGTCCCGCTCCACACGTGTGCTAAACCTCCATGACGGGGCCAACTATTAGAAGAGAGAGAAGCCAGCCGTAACTATAAACCCCCTTGGAAAGAAGAAGAAGTAGAAGAGCAGCGGCAGATGGCAGAGTGCCAGGAGAAAGCCTCGGGGAAAGTTGTTTGTTTTTTCGACTTCTCCTGTGTTCTCCTCGCTGGCTGCTTGCTGCTCTTCTCTTTTTCTGGGCTTTCTTTTACCCGTCCACGTCCCACGCTGTGGCAGTTTTTCGGGTGGAGAAAGAGGGATCGTCGGGGTTAATATCTGAGCGATGTGAGCAGTTATAAAGTCGGACGGACGGTTGATGTGTTATAAAACTCCCTGTCTGGCCAGCTAGTTTACTATGTTCGGGACGGGACTGGACCCCAGGACATGGCACAAGTTGGCCTTTACCGCTCCATCACTATCTCTGATGTGGCCCCCTGTCTGTCCTCCTCTGTGTGCTCGTATAATTGGCACTCGAAATGAGGAGAAATAATAATAGCGAGACAGAGGCGTCATAAAGGAGTGAAGGGAGTGCTGTGATGGGTTTTCGCCTCCTGCAGTAGTTTATCTTTCCCCTTGTCCTGATGTTGGCTACCCCCTGTTTCCTCGTTGCTGCTCCTCCTCTGCCTGTCTCCTGTCAAGCTCGCCCTTTACCAGGAACGGAGTAAATCCCGGGAACGTTGAGCCCATGTTCCTGGTTAGCCTGAGCCCCCGATTGGCGAAGCACTGGTGCAGCTGCAGTAGCGTCGAAGTCCGTGGGGCAGGACCTCGAGTTCGCCAGCGGCCGAGCGAGCCTGTCCCTGTCCCTTTTTTTTTACTATATTGCTTTTTCCTCCTGGTCTGAATCCTCTTCGTTTCTTCTTGCTCTCGCCCTCTCTCTGGCTCGTTTTTTTTGCTGGAACAAGACGAGCTCTCAACAACGAGCCCAGAGTTTGGGCCTAAAAGTCCGTGATGAAACCTTCGGGCCAATCCGTGTTGCTGGAAATTCGAGGGAGGACTGGCATCCGTCCCCCCTCTGATGCCAGGCGTAAATTCAACCCTGTGGCAGCCAGCAATGAGCGAAGCCAGGGAGCATCCATTTGGTTTAGCCTAGCCCGTAGTGTGCCGTCAAGGTCCTGATCCTCTTATCCACCCGGTCGTCCCTTGCCCTGCTGCCCCTGACCCTTGTTTGCGTACCTTTTCTCCTCGAATTCCAGCTCTGCTTTCCTTCATCCATCCAGAGTCGATATCCCTTCTATCGCTCGCCTCTGCCCTCTCCTCTGTTCGTCTTGTTCGTTTTTCTAATAGCCGGTGCTGAAGGCTTGCTTTCTCTCGCGATTCCATGCAGCCTGGGGCTCGCTGTGTCCATCGTTGACGGCCTATACTTTTCGTCCTGCATATATACTTCCTCTCCCGCAGCACATATCAAGAGAACCCCTGGTGCTTGTCCCTTTTCGCGGAGAGGACGAGAGTCGACTACCCCAGCTTTCCTGCGCAGGGCTTTCGTGCATATAAGCCGTTTGATCTCCTCGTAGGGAAGAGAAAAGAAAGGGGAGGGGAAGAGAGAGAGCGTCTGTCTGAAACGGCTGTCTCGGTGTCACAAAAAAAAAAAGCTGGCCCGACTCGGAACTGTGTGTATGACCTGTCCAATCCTCGATATATTCACATTGCCAATCGTCTTCTGTGTAATGCTGCCCGCACCGGGGTTCCTGGGATGCTGTGGGAGGTGATCAAGTTGCTAACATCTCGATTATCGCGGGAGTCACAGGGAATCCGTCGTCTGTCGTCTTATCATTTTTTTTTCTTTCTATATCTTCCACGTCTGCTGTTGACACAGCACAAAACGGCCAGCAGCAGCGGCGGCGGCGACAACGACAATAATATATAGGTAATAGACATCATAATAGCCACAGGAAAGATAGTCATGGCTCCCTCGTTGCGAGAGCGTGCCTCTTTTGTGCGGCCTACGACCAAAGAACGGCCAGCGACCCGCGAGCAGGCAGAGTCCCTTACGATCCCCAGCCGGACGTCCTCGCTGCACTCGCGGATAACACAGCCAATTCCATCGACTTTGAACATGAAGCCGGTGCAGAAGACGCCCAAGACCCTCACGCATGCGTACATGGTCTGCGGTGTTGGCCGCGAGCCCTCGCAATGGGTGAAGGCCCCACCGCCGTCGCAGGGCAAGATAGGCCATATGAAGGGCGCCGTGGGCCAATTTTGGCTGCCAGAGATCCTGGGCAGCAGCCCGAGACTCGAGCAAGACAACGAGATAGCAAAGTCTCTGCATGCTGCCATGCGGGTGCGTTGTGTCCTGCACATCCTTTCTTTCTACTAGTTGTGTGTGTGTTGTGTTGTGTTAGGAGTACGCTGGCTAACTGGGTGTATATACAGGCGTGTTTCCCCCATGATGTCGAGATATGCACCGGCAAGAACCAGCCTCACTGTGTTCACCACTCGTTCGTCCTCCAGCAGGACTCTTCTCACACCCTCTACGGCATTGCCCTGAAGGTCTGGTCTCGGGCAGACGAGAAGCGTGCCGAGACCATCAGGGAGCTGCGGAAGAAGACAGAAGTTAACTTCTACGACAACGCAGAGGAGATATATTGGATCCCTTACTGCCTCAGCTTCCTCTCCAGATACCCCCTTTACAATCTCCTAGGTGATTATCTCCGTGGAATGTGGATCCATTGGAATAAGGCCACCAACCTGTTCCATGCTGAGGAAGTTTCCAGAATCCTCAGCTTTCCGGCGCCCCGTCTCAATGACCTTGTGCGTATTGACATGAAGGACTATGCCCTGTGCTATCAGTTTCCTTCTTCCCCCACTGGCTACCAAAACTTTGCTATGTGGCCTTTGTTCTCCTGTCTTTCCATTCCGAACATCGTGGGTGTCATTGAAGCCGCCGTTTCTCCTACCCGTAGGATCATCTTCGTCAGTCATTACCCTGCCATCCTGACTGTTGCCACTGAGACTATCCGCTATTGCGTCCGAGTGTACGAGTGGAGTGGCCTGTATAATCCTGTTGTGCATGCCAGACATGTCAAGGAGCTCGTTGAAGAGCCTGGCCCGTATATCCTTGGTGTAACCACTGAATGTCGGGATCTGTTCACTGCTCCAACAGACGCACTAGTGATCGATCTAGATCGCAACTTTGTCTTAACCTCAAGCCCTCCAAACATCCTCACGCAGGGTCAGAGAAACAAGATGATCACTCGTCTTACTCAGGCCTTGAACGGAGAGGTGACTCCAACAGGGCCTCCTCCCCACCTAAGATCTGCCTACGGTGGTGGAAAGCTAGTTCCAGCTGGCCAGATCATTGTCATGAGAGGAGAGGTTGAAAGCGTCCAGGACCCCCAATGGTGGAATCAGGATGCTGTCATGGCTGTCATGGACCATGTTTGCGAGAAACTGGTACGTGTTATGATTTTTCTTGTTTTTTTTTTTTTTTTTTTTTCATTACCCAAGATGAAATATACTAGTACTAACATCCATCACTAGGGTCGCAATACTGGTCTGAAGGCTGTGTTTGGAGGATCAGTCAAGAAGCCATTGATGACCAAGGTGTCCATGAGACATCTCAACGAGATTGTTCGTGAACGTAACCAGTACTCTAGAGATGCTCTTGAAGCCTGGCAAGACTTCATTAACCTCAAGGGCAGAATGGATACTGAGTTAACCAAGGTCACCAAACGTAACAACTTCCTCGTCGAGGAGCTCGAGACCTGGAAGCAGCAATTCCTCAAGTTCCAGAAGTTTGCTGAACAGCTTACCAAGGAAACTTCAGAGCTCAAGGTCAAGATTGAAACGCATAAGCGTGAAAGTCGCCGCCTTACCAGTCTTATCGACCAGCAGAAGGATGATATCATTCGCCTTACTCTGCGTCTATCTGGCACTGAGAAGCAGCGTGACGATGCCCTAGAGGCTCTAGTACTCCAGCAGGAGATTGCTGAAGAATTGGAGCGCGAAAGAAAGCGCAACGAAAAGGAGATTGCTGCTCTACAGCATACCAATTCGAATCTTTTGCGCCAACGAGACGATGCTCAACGTGTCGTTATCCATCTTCGGAGCCTTATCAATGGGCAGGCTCACCACATGGAGCACATTGTTCGCTCCATCGACAGCTCTCCCGAGTTATCTCGGTACATTGAAGAAGGCCATGATATGTCAGCCGAGGATACTGCCAAAGGTGATGAAGAACCATCCAAACCCCAAGACTCCGCCAATAAAACCGCCTCGAGCCGGAAATCCAGCTCCCGTCTTAGTAACCGGTCTGCTACTCCCGCTCTGTCAGATGACGCCCCTACCAACGCGGACAACCGCATGTTGAGCGTCGACAAGAGGAGACGCTCCATAAGACTAAGCATGTCTGACGTAGCTGATAGACATCTCCGCGACAAAACCGATGCTATTGCAGACATCATCCGCACCATCAGCGATCAGTGT